CTAAAAAAGATACACCAGCGGACATCTTTTCTGTATTTATTCAATGGAATGAGCTTCATCTGGCTGAATAATCCTTCAGGAAGTGGCCGGCACAAAGAGTAAGTGGAAATGTTGGCATGTCTTGCTGGACAGTCGACAGGGAATCAGCACAAGGTGAGCTTCTGAGACGTCTGACTGTTCTGCTCCCTGACCGCAGTGCGCGTGTCACACAGCTGCAGAGTGGACTGCAGTGCATTGACGTCCAGCTGGATATTTAGAGTGTGACGCAGCAGAGTTCAGTCAATGATAAAAGTGCCCAAAAAGATGTGTTTTTTTTTTTTATTTCAATGAGACACTCTCACCAGTAGGTTGCAGTTTACAAATTTCACTGTAAACCGGAAGTGTGCTTTTTACAGTGCATTATACAGTGTGTGATTATTCTGATTAAGCACCCATTCATTTATATAAGTTCATCTCTAACTCACGTGTGTCTCTGACTGATGAAGGTATTTAGTACTTAGAAGGTTCATAGATGTGTAAACATGTTGCTTCCCGATGAGGCATCAGGGGATGAGTACAATAGTGACAATGGGAGGCAATGTGAGGCTCAGTGTTTTTGGCCTCTGTGCCTGTGATTGGAAGATTGCTGATTTGAATCCTTTCCTTGGCGGAATAGTCACATGTCCCTTGGGCCCTTGAGCAAGGCCCTTAACCCCCCAAAATGCTCCAGATATATGTGCTGAATATATGATTCATCCTGTGCTTGGACCCAAAGCTTTGCTCTCCCCTATATGTGTGTGTGTGCGTGTGCGTGTCAAAGGACAGAAAGATGAGAAGCCTATGTCCATCCATCCATCCATCCATCCATCATCTTCCGCTGGATCCAAGGTCGGGTCGCGGGGGCAGCAGTCTCAGCAGGGAAACCCAGACTTCCCTCTCCCCGGCCACTTCATCCAGCTCCTCTGGGGGAATCCCAAGGCGTTCCCAGGCCAGCCGAGAGACATAGTCCCGCCAGCGTGTCCTGGGTCTTCCCCGGGGCCTCCTCCCAGTGGGACATGCCCGGAACACCTCACCAGGGAGGCGTCCAGGAGGCGTCCTGACCAGATGCCCGAGCCACCTCATCTGGCTCCTCTCAATGCGGAGGAGCAGCGGCTCTACTCTGAGTCTCTCCCGAATGACCGAGCTCCTCACCCTATCTCTAAGGGAGAGCCCAGCCACCCTGCGGAGGAAACTCATTTCGGCCGCTTGCACTCGCGATCTCGTTCTTTCGGTCACTACCCACAGCTCGTGACCATACTGTAGGTGAGGGTAGGAACGTAGATCGACTGGTAAATCGAGAGCTTTGCCTCTTGGCTCAGCTCCTTCTTCACCACGACAGACCGATGCAGCGCCCGCATCACTGCCTATGTACTTATACAAATAGCCAAATAAGCACCATTTAATTTTTTTCTCCATTTTTAATGCCATGAGAACAACATCATACTGCATTATACCATCCAAAAGCCAAAGCGAGACCCCAAAGATTACAGAAAATGATGATGGGGAACCCATTGTTATCAGAGGAACATGTCAGAGGCCTGCACAGACACTGATCTCAGGCCAAGAGAATGTCTTTGGGAGAAGCTAGGATGTAGAATTTGGATAGGCCGGGATGCTCCACTTCGGAATTGAAGCTTTGTCGATCATTAAACCAGGAGACGAGTGCAATACCATCAGCTTTGTACAAGACACTATAAAAGCTATGACTCAGACTCATGGTAACCTGACATTTATATTCATAACCACATGCCGTGTCACTTAGAGTGGGACACGGGTTATCTCCCTGTTTCACGCAGCGACCAACAAAGACTTCAGCCTGTCTAGGCTGCATCCTGTCTATACCTTCATCATGTCGTTATAGGTTAGCATAAGACCAGGGATGGTTTCCCGGTTCTGGACGGGGTCCGCCGGAGGCTGGCTGCACATTCCTGCAGGAGCTGGTCTCGGGACCGGCCCATATAGGGCTCGTCTGCTCGGGGCAGGAATGCGGGGAGCGGCAGGTCTGTAATGGGAAGCATTTTGTGGGAATTAGCTGTGGAATTCCAAGCGCGTATTTGCTGACCCACGCTTCCCCCTTTTTTGCATGTTCAGTTTGACCCAGTCACCTGTCAGCACGTCCCGCCGTAAAGATCACAGCCCATCGCTCCGCGCTGATCCCCGCCGGCTTCCATGTCGGTACGGCCTACAGCCGGCCTCCATCACGCACACGCCCTCTCTCATTCAGCTTGGTTGTCTCGCTATTGTTTTTGCCCACACCGACTGGTGACTTTCATGGCAATCCTAACACCAGCCTTGCCCTCAGCCCTCCTCTTGTCACCGGATGCTTGTGCAATTATGTCTTTTATGACAGTCTTTTGCTCTCGCTGTTGACTACAATAAGCCGTTGTGCGGGTCGTGCAAAATCATGACGCCGACTGTCGCCTATCCAGCACTTTAGCTGGGTTTTGGCGGCTAACGGTAAGCCATGAAAATTCCGATTTCTGTTCTAATCCCGGGAATTCTGTGCATGGCAAACAGAACTCCTCTCCACAGGACTACGTGCTGGTTTAGCAGGAAATTTCTGAAAAATCCATAAGCACTGTAAATCTCATCAAATTCATCAAATCCTCTGTCAAGAATACAACTCCCAGCTTATCCCACATTCTCCTCCCTGTCTTCTTCTCCACATAGTCTGTCTTCTCCAGACTTATTTTTTGGAACATCACAGAGGGTCCTGGCAGTCTTGTCTTTGGGCCAAGTGTAAAATCTTCCATTACAAAAGATTAATGTGGGTGGGAGTATACCTTGTGTTGCAAACGCCAATAGTTATGTCATCCAACATTTACTCGTTTGCATTAACCATTTTATTGATTAATGTATATGTGTCCCATGCTGCCTTTTTTTTTTTAGAGATTTAGTCATTATGCAAATCCTTATGCAGCTCAGTTGTTCTTACTTCACTGAGTGGTTCAGATGGTACTACTCTGTCCTCACGCCTCCGCAGTTGTAGACAGGACTCCTGCCCTGGCTCTCTCCCTGCCTGTAGAGTTTGCATGTTCTCCCGGTGTTTGAAGTTTTTCTCCAGGTATTCTGATGTCCTCCTTTAGTCCTCCAGTTTGATAATGTCTGACCTGCCTTATGACCTGCCTCAGGCTTACTACAGTCCAATACTGGATACTGGTTATAGAAAATGCATGGATGCATTTACTAGATGTGTTCAGGCAACACATGAATTCATATGATATTTTCTCTGCCCCCTTTAGTGTGTGGAAGTGTGGGACCCTGGGTCCAGTTCTGGCAGCTCCAGGATGAACATATTTTGCTTTGCATAAAGGTTCACACCAGGGTCAAAGCAACACAAATATGCACACAGAAAGTATTCTGATTGTAAAAAAAAGCAGATGGCAACATGAAACAAATTGAAATCCCAGACATTTCAGACATTTTTAGGTCCCAAAAATACAGTCACTCTAGGCAGCTTTAGTCCTTTTTGCCATTAAGGAGTACAAGAAGGCTTAGTGTGATACCATGAGGTCATACGATGTTTTCAGTGTGATAACTTGTCCGTTACTTACAATTTAATCAGAGAAGACAGACCCCAAAATCGTTGGCACCATACAGAACAGGATGATATGTGTAGTACAGTGTTAAGGTGTTCAGTGCCAAATGTACGCAGTTGAAGCCGTCATCTATGTTACTGCAGAAACTCCAAATCAGGCTGCAGAGTTGCTGAACACACAGATGGTGGGAGTATCTCGATGGTTTAATAATAATTTTTTGACCACAGCAAAACCGTATCCATGTGTTTTACAATCAGACGTAAAATCTGTAACAATTTTATTATTGTCATTGATCACAGAGAAATTGAGAAAGTGGATGAGTTTAAATATCAGGTTGGTGTTTTGGATTCTCACCTTAAATTTGAGTCTCACATCAGGAAAGTGTCCAGAACCATTAAGACCAAGCTTAACTGTTTCCGTCTGATAAGACCATATCTATCTGTAAAAGCTGCCCAGTTGCACCTGCATGCCATGATTCTGTCTCACCTCTCATACTGTGTAATTGTTTGGAGCCAAGCAACTCAATCTGCTTTAAGACCTGTGATGTGTCTGTACAAACAAGCCCTAAAAGTCTTGGACCAAAAATCGATAAAGTGGCACCACTGTAAAATACAGGAGAAGTACAATCGTCTAAGTTTCGACAATTCTGTAAACTTCTTTTTTATAAAACTGACATTTAAATGCTTCAATGGCTTTGTCCCAGAGTTGGTTAGCAGAATGATTGTAAAAGCCAGCAGCACAGGAGCTCCAACAAGAGGAACAGAAAATGGAGACTGTAAACCAGCAAAATACAAAACATCATTTGGTCAATCCTCGTTCTCATTTAAAGGACCTCGGATCAGAATAATTTACCGTCGGCAATAAAACTGTTAACAAATGTTATAGGGTCTTTAACTCCCAGGTGAAAAAATGGCTGAAACAAAAGCAAATCTGTGAACACTGATGTTTTATATTAGTTATATTACTTAATTTATACTAATTTCTTGAGAGTGTGTGTGTGTATGAATATGTGTGTGTGTGTGTGTGTGTGTGAGACTCGATAATTGCTGTTACTGTCTGTTCTTAAAAGTCCAACCAAGGACTAGGTTTGCAAATTAGCCTTTGGCTAGAAAACCTCCGTACAAAACAACGGTTGCATTGTTCTCACATGTAACATTGTCTTTTGTGCTGTCCTTGCTCAATAAATCCAATAAATAAAATAAAGTAACTAAAGCCCAGAGTTATAGCTACGAAAACAATTAAATATTGTGTCTTTATTGACGCTGACTTTATGGCATCAACATGAACTAATCATTTTTGGTAGAAAATGATCTGAGACTGCGATAAAAAGTGTGCTACACTCAAGTTAAACTCAAACGCCCCATTCCAGACCGATCCAGCGGAACGATCTCTTTAGTGAATAAACGTGTCATGTGATGGAGGTTAATTTCCTTGTCGGCTTCACGGGGAAGTGACGTATAGAAAAAGGAAGTAACGAAATCGATCAACCCAAGAGGTGGTAGAAAACGTATGTGTGTTACTTTACCTTAAAAAGATACGTTTGCGGTGTAATTTTAGTTTAATGTTCATATTTATAAGGTCCGTTAAAACCGTGTCGTATCTAGAAATAAATACGCGATACAGATACAATGGACATGCTGACATTTGGACGTTATGTAATTACTGAATTAACTGATCTGTCTAATTATAAGTAGGAGTTATAATGTATCATGTATCATTTGATACATCTCGCCACGGTCAGCATATAACTGAGACAGTCTGTTATGTCTGCATTCATGTGCTGTAGAAAATAAAAACAAAACTCAGATACCGACAGCGGTTTCGCTGTTAAATTGTTTTACCTATATTTTTTTTGTTTACTTTGGTGTATATAAGAATTTCAATATACTGAACGCATTTTTATTATACCCTTGCAATATGGTCTCTTCCGATGGGTTTACTGTCTATTATCATATTTAAGGAAACACATCACCTGTGTGCCTTTCTGATTCATAGAGTTATTCTCTACTGCTATTTGTGTTCAAATATGACGTCACGTTTGGCATTCTCCTCACTTTTGTTTTCCAGTTGAACGGAGCTTTTGTCTGTGAGGAACCAAAGCAGACAGGATGGTCAGTGTCCACTTTTGATCTTTTTATCCTAGAAAGAAATCTACTGTCATTTGAAGCAAATTTAAATGGGTTTCTAATTCTGATTCTGAAATTAGTCAGCAATGCTTTTCCTGATGTCTGGATGCATATTTTCACCACCCTCTCAACATTTTCCCTCCCCAGGGTGAGCGGAAAGGAGTAAACAAGTATTACCCTCCGGACTTCGATCCGGCGAAGGTGAGTCTCGTTCCCACGCATGGGAAAACGAGAGTCCATGTGGCAGACATTCTGGCTGAGATGGGGACAGTCAGCGTCTGAGACAGATTCAGGAAAAAAGACCTAAAATAAAAATGAAGGATGCATTGGCTGAATTCAACAAATGCATTTGATTGCTTACCTATTCAGTCATACCCAGCGTAAGGA